CGGCTCACTGCAACCTCCGCCTCCTGGGTTCAGGCAATTCTCCTGCCTCAGCCTCCTGAGTAGCTGGGATTACAGGCACGCACCACCATGCCCAGCTCATTTTTTTGGAGTTTTAGTAGAGACGGGGTTTCACCTTGTTGACCAGGATGGTCTCGATCTCTTGACCTCGTGATCCACCCGCCTCGGCCTCCCAAAGTGCTGGGATTACAGGCTTGAGCCACCGCGCCCGGCAGTATTCATATTTTTTAATCAAAATTTAAAAATCCTAATTTTAGTTCCAATGACAAATCTATTTGATAAGCTTATAAAATCTCCCCTTCTCTCTTTGAAGGCCACAGAATGCCACAGCCTTGATCCATGCCACATAGCTTATGGACACACGAATTTTTTTCCTTACCCATATATGAAATTGGTTATTTGGATTTTCAGAGACCTATATATATAGCAATTTGAAAGTTTAATTTCAACAAAATGTCCATAGACCATAAAATTATTCTCTAGGTTCTGTGCATTCTGAAGCTCCCAGAGGGCAATGCTGCTGGTCTGGGACCCAGGATGGAGAACCAAAGCCTGAGATTAACTTTCTGGAGCTGGGTATAGTATGCAAAACAGCTATCACATTTTTGTGCTACATGAGGTGTCAGATACTTTGAAACGGTAAAATTTCTCAAAACTATGGAATACATCAGTGCATCTCAAACGAAGTGCACACAATTCCTGGAAAAGAAACAGTCTTCACTAGTACACAGGACCTGATCTCCACAGTTAAAATGGATTTTCTGACTCTGTCCTGCGTGGGAGATCCTGTATTTCCAAGAAGCTCTCAGGCAACTCTGTCACTCCTAGCCCCCAGCACCACTTAGAGCAGCAAGAATAAGAGAGAATAATGTTTATCATCACCAGATAAGAGCTAGGAAAGAAATACACTTAATACTTTCTGGATCTATTAGGATGACAATGTACCCACGGGAATATTGTCATAAAGACTGCATTAATGTTTTGATAATATTTTGTGACATAACAAAAGAATAGAAAAATTGTGACCCCTCTCCAAAAAAGCAGAAAGCAGAGGAGGAATGGATCTGATTCTCTGATGCCATTTTTAAGATTACATACTTTCCAAAGGAACACAGTTTAAAATTCTAGGTTTGGAGGTCATTAATAAAAATCAATAGGAAATTTTTTTTACTTTATAAAAAGACCTTTTTTTTTCCTCTCTCTCCTCACTCCAAGACCTCTATAAAATGTCACTTCCCCTCAGTCCAGTTTTACCTGAAGACAAATCAATATATGCATTACACCAGTGAGGAAAGAGGAGGGCAAGGCAGAGCTGACAGTCCCCTCTAGCCTTGCTGAGAGACCAGCTGTGATGCCAGGGTTTCCGGTGAAACCCAGCGTTTCCTACAAAACTTGGTCTTCACAGGCCAAGCTGTAGAGGCTTCAGCTTCAGCTATAAACTGTTCATAAATATTCTACCAACTCAAAATACTGAGACCATTACATATGTTCATTACAGTCAACAGAATCAGAATCAGGAAGAACCGACTAGAGAAAACTAGGAAGAAATGAATACTCAAGGATCTGTTAGAAAATAATGAGCAGATACGGACTGACCTGAAAGGAAGTATGATTCCAGTACTTCTGGTCTTAACTTCTGAATTACACTGCAAGCTGAACTTCAGGTACCTTCAGCCACGTTTTCTTTTATCACCCTAGAAATACAATGAAATCAGATACAGCCTTTTTAAAAACTGATTTCAGTAAACAATGAGAAAATCAAGAGTTAACTCGTTTCATAAAGTTCTTAACAGTAATTGAGGTTTCGATGCCATTTAGTGCTGCATCTGATTATGTCCATTCAGTAAGGATTTTCTCTTTAATTAAAAATACTCTCCATTTCCTCAAAGAACATCAACCGACTTAAAATTCAGCTTCATTTTATCTTCTACAATAAACAGTATTAAGCCCTAAATACCAAATAATTTTCAGATCTGCTAACAATGTATTAAGAATCTATTTAGCTAAATCCTTATTTCCATAGGCCCTCTTATACAGATTGTTGATACCTCAGCACAACACAACTGGAAACCTTGTAATGCAAAATCCCACAAAGGATCCTCACTCCCAGTGCATCTACAAATCCATATTCCACTTGTACCAAGGAAGGGAATACAAATGTGTCTGTCATGCTCCATCAGAAACAGACTGTTACCCTAGTAAG